TAAATAACTATGCTTTTTTGCATCCGTGTACACCTGTCCACATGCATCCGACATATTTCCCAAACATGGAAACTTTGGTAATACATTGAACATGCAGGCATGGGGCAATGCTAATGCAGAGAAGCATCAACATTTACAAAAGTATGACTATATTAGCCATTCACTTGTATAGCAGGCTGTGTGTGGCACATGTGGCTCTGCATATGGGGGGGGGGGGGGAACCTGTAAAAGCCCTGTGTGCATAAACCTTTAAAGAAGATCTATTGTTAAATATTTTTAATATTGTTTTAATGACCCAAAGCTCTTGGTCCCATTCAAGTTCACCCATTGGTTTCTAAGCAACCTAGCAATGCTGCTAGAAAGGAGACTGATTTCTGATTGACAGTTCTAGTCTCTGGCAGTACTGGAAACCAGTGGTGCCATTCACAGAAAAAGAAAATAAATCAGTCTGCAACTGTATGTATATCAGCAGTTGTATACATACACAGCTTGGCCGATGGATGATAAAGTGCTGCATGATCTGTATGATCTTTCAGTTTCATGAATGAGCGATCAGTGCTGTTGGGCTGTGTCATACATGGGACCAGTTCGACATTGCTGATTGTTCATTCATAAACGTAAAAACTCGCAAAGCGTTGTAGCACATTTTTAAATGTTTTATTAAAAATCAAAAGATTGCAAAGACATGTTCCCTTTAAAGTGGTTGCAAGGGTTACTTTGTTATATAAAAGAAAAAAAAAATGTTATACAGTGGTACCTCGGTTTTACGAATGCCTCGGTTAACGTAATTTTCGGTTTACGAATGAAAATTCATTGAAAATAATGCCTTGGTTTCCAAATTTTTTACTAATTTTTTTCGCAATACGAAGTGTATGTCGGTGCTGATTTTTAAATGCAATTGCTGGCGGGTTTTTTTTTTTTTTCCTTTACTATAGCTCACAAGATTAGCTGTCACTTTCTCCAAGTTACAGGAAACTTTGTTTCTTTTAAGAAAACTAAAAGGAAACATTGTTTCTTTTAACTTGGGGAAATAAACTAGAAGAAAACTTTCTCTTTTAGCTGGGGGGAAAGTGACAGCTGAATTTCTGAGCTATAGTGAAAAAAAAAAAAAAAAAGCGGTAATTACATTTAAAAACCAGCACCATAATAAATAAACTGTGGGGTCCCCTCTCCCATCCATACCAAACCCTTCGGGTCTGGTATGGATTTTGAGGGGAACTCCCACACCTAAATTTAAAAAAAAAATGGTGTGGGGGTCCCCCCCCCCAAATCCATACCGGACCCTTATCTGAGCATGCAGTCCCAGCAGGTCAGGAAAGGGGGGGGGGGGAAGCGAGCGCCCCCCCCCCTCCTGAGCTATACCAGGCCACATACCCTCAACATCGGGGGGTGCTTTGAGGCTCCCCCCCCCAAAAGCACCTTATCCCCATGTTGATGGAGGCAAGGGCCTCTTCACCACAACCCTGGCCAGCGGTTGCGGGGGGCTTATCGAAATCTGGAAGCCCCCTTTAACAAGGGGGACCCCAGATCCCCCCCCATGTGAATGAGTGTGGGGTACATGGTCCCGCTACTCATTCACAAAAAAACAAAAAGTGTAGTGTAAAAAAAGACAGGACACGGTCTTTGACAAGTGCTTTATAAAAAAAAAAAAATTTAAAAGCATGTCCCTGCAGTAGATCCAACGTCAATCACGATGCCCGCTGCCGCCGTAGACCCGAAAAAAAAAAAAAAAAAAAGGTTCCCTTCCCGACGATGGCTGCCAGCCCTCTTCCTCTGAGCTGTGGTATTTTAATGGTGTTTTTACTTTTTTCTGACCTTTGGAATGGATTAATTGGCTTTCAATGCATTCCTATGGGAAACAGTGTTTCGGTTTACGAAAAAGTCCTGCAGAACGAATTAAATTCGTAAACCGAGGTATAACTGTACTTGCCTTGCTCTGCGCAATGGTTTTGCACTGAGCAGTACTGAATCTCCTCTTCTGGGGTCCCCCTCACTGGTGCTCTAGGCTCCTGTTCTTCTTTTCAGTGTGCCAGCATAAGAAGCTGCTTCCTATCTGGGCGCAACTGCTGGCTTGCTTCTGAGCCGGGCTGTGTGCATATTTAGATACACACAGTATGGCTCAACCCCATCTTCCGCTCCTTCCTCACAGGATTTGATTGACAGCAACAGGAGCCAATGACCCCAAATGCTCTCACTGTCCTTTGGGGAGAGGAATAGAGAAGAGCTGCTTCACTGGGCATAGTGCTGGATTGAGATGAGACTCAAGTAAGTATAAGGAGGGGTGGCGGCAATACAAATAGTGGGACATTTTTTACCTTAATGCAGGGAATGTGTTAAAGTGTTACTAAACCCACACCAGTAAAATCAGTCTGTATATGCAGTAAAGCATGCTTGGTATACTCAGTGTGGAACCTAAGGGGTTAATCCTCTTTGTGTCAAAAGGCCCTTTGATCCTGTTTTCTCTTCCCCACCTCTTATTGAAATGCCCGCGTCTTATCTCCGGATAAGGCAGACTGAACCCATAGCCACACACACATGCTCAGTTTAGTGTGTATTGCTAGAGATATTTTTTTTTTTTTTTCTTGGGAGAGTGCATGCGATCAGCACAGGGACAATCAGCACTGTCAAGACAGAGGGTCTGGATTTTGCATCCTCCTAGAGCAGAAAGAAAACTCCTACAAACTTTAACCAGTGCTCTGCTGAACTCACAAGACTGCTGTAACTGCTGATGAGAAAAGGTATTTAGCAGTTTATATTTACTAAAATAATTGCATTTCCATGTTGTGTGTACTGTGGGAGACCAGATATAGTGGATGCAGGGTCCTGGGTTTAGTAACACTTCAGCCCGGGTTCACAGTGATGCAGTGCAGAATTCGCAGCAATTTCTGTGCGAATTAAATCGCACCCAGTTCATGTGAACCGCTGCGGGTGTGTATGTTAAAGCAGATCCCCACCCAAGAGGGGAAGTTCCAACTTTAAGGACTGCTCCCCTGCTCCCCATTAAGGATTGGCACCTTTGGGGAGCGGGAGGTACCCGAACCCACTCCGGTTGGAAGGTGTCCTCCCTCCCTCCCTGTAGTCTTTTGGGACACGTGACAGGTCTCAGAAGACTACAGGACCATTCACGAAGCGCGGCGCTACTCGAGCATGTGCAGTGGGTACACGGCTGTGAAGCCGCAAGCTATCACAGCCGGGTGCCCACACTGAAGATGCTGGCCTCCTGGAGTATAGGATGGCCAGTGAAACAAGCTGCGGGGGACACACCACAGGACCGAGGGACAGGTAATTGGCTGTTTTTTAAAAAGTCAGCAGCTACATTTTTTGTAGCTGCTGATTTTGATTTTTTGATAGGTTGAGTGGAACTCCTCTTTAAGTTAACAACACCCTGAAAGCGGTCCGCAAAACGCAGTGCTATGTGCTGAATCGGATCGCATAGATGTGAATACCCATGCGATCCGTTTCTAGTGCGGACCCATAAAAGGGTCTTGCACCTTTTTGGTGCGGTGCGATTAGAGCCATACAAAATGTATGGCTCTAATCGCACAGCACACAAATCGCATGTGATTTGCACAGGAATGCAGTGCGGTTCCTGTGCGAATAACATGCGATATACCGCACCGCATATATGTGAACCCAGGCTTAAAGTAAAAACTCCTGTCCTGCCTTTTGAACCCCTTTAAATGTATTGCTGTAGAATGTTTTAGCATGTTGCTTTTGTATAGAAAACATTGGCCAACAGCATTGTATGTTTGATTTGGCGAGTACTGGCTGTTATACTTGTCACATCCCTCTGTTACAAGTTAACCCTGCACAGAAAGCTTGAGTACATTTTAGCATTGTGACCTCATCCTAGAACAGAAAAGCTTTTCATTTCAGACATTCTCAGGCATTTTTTGTTTTGTATTGCAGTTTATTTCAGCTTTAATCTTTAGCAGAAACGAAGCTGCTGCATACTTTGAGGCAGTCTGTACTGCATGGACATAATGCAGCTATGCAGGAGCTTTGGCCACACCCTCGTTCATGATGTGAAATACAATTATGTTCTCCAGACAAGTGTCCTTATTTCACCCTTATGCAATATTTACCGTATCCGGAAACCTTTCAAGGGAACAAAACAAAGGCTGCAGCTAACCCAGTGATACAGATTCAAGACTTGATATGCTTGGCTTTGTTAACTTCACATGTGGATTAGATGATACAGCATAGTCATTTAAGGCAATAGTCTACTTTGATCTAAATGTAGGGGCTGTGATTTCACGTGGGATTCCAGATTTCCCATGCAGCTAAAGAGCTGACAATTAGTAAGCAATGTTTGAAAGTATTGTATTTGTACATTTTGTTTTTCTTTCACTACTAAGGGGGGCACAATGTTTTTTACCCATTGAGTGTCTCGGGAATTCTATCAGAATGTACATAAACCTACAGGAGGGTTGGAAATAGCCAAACCAGCAAAAAGTTTGTGGTCCAGCCCAAGGCAACCCCTTATTCTCCCAGCATGCCTGTTTTTTGCTAGTGTTTTAGAAGGATGGATGTCTTTCCTCTGCTTTGCAAAGAAAATAAACTTTCTTAGCTACCTTTTTATATTTTTTGTTTTTTTTTAATTATTATTTTTTACATTGCTGTTGACCTGGTCTGTATACAGCTATTCAGATCACCTTGACCTACGCGTGACTTTTGAGTGTTGAACCCCATAAGCCAAGCAACAGCATGGGAATTTCTTGAGCAAGTGCTGGGAGCCAGAAGCATTCACTAGCAAACAGCCATCTCCATGTTAGCTGTGGCAATGTGTGACCTGTTGCGTTGCGTGACCTGTTTGCCGAGGGGAGTGGTGTCCTATCCTAAATTGCCACAAGCGTTATAGGGAATCCAGAAAGATGGGACAAAGTACTGCATGTCCTTTGTCCCATTGAGAACTGAATAAAAAAAAAAAATGTATTTAACCGCTTTTCACCTGCCCTATAGCAGAAGTACTGCTACAGGGCGGCATGGGTGTATATATGTGATTTTGCATTTCCAGGTAGGTGGGGCGCGCGTGTCCTACCCGCACCACCATTCGTGGCCATGGCTGTCAATCTCCGGGTCCCAGCCGGAGATTACTTGCCGGCACCCGGAGATTACTTGCCGGCACCCGGTGATTGCTGAGCATCTCCAACGGGAGGGAGAACTGTTTGTAAACAAAACAGTTCTCTCCACTGTCAGCTCCTGCACACTGCTTTGCCTGGCTGTGCATAGTGTGCTTACAGTGAAGCACAGACACAGCCCTAGTAGTAAACAGCACACTGTTAACCCTTTGATCACCCCACATGTTAACCCCTTCCTGCCCAGTGCCATTAGTACAGTGTCAGTGCTTTTTTTTCAGCACTGATCACTGTATTGGTGTCACTGGGGATGTCCGTGACACCAAGTCAGTTCCCCCCCAGTGTCCGAAACACCCGCCGCAGTCTCGCTATAAGTCGCTGATCACCGCCATTACTAGTAAAAATAAAAATCCCACTATCTATACCCGCCATTTGTAACCACTAGAACTTTCACGTAAACCAATTAATTTACACATATTGGGAGGTTTGTTTTTCTTTTTTTTAGCAAAGACATGTAGAAGAATACATTTTGGCCTAAATTCATGAATACATTTTTTTTTTTCATTTTACTGGACATGTTTAATAGTAAAAAATCAAAAAAAATTTTTTTTCTCTCAAAATTGTTGGTCTTTTTTTGTTTTTATAGCCCAAAAAATTTAAAATGCATAGGCGATCAAATACCACCAAAAGAAAGCTCTATTTGTGGGGGGGAAAAAAACCCATAAATTTAATTTGGGTGCAGCGTTGCATGACCACGTAGTTGTCACTAAAGTAACGCAGCGCCGTAGCGCAAAAGATTGCTTGGACAAGAAAGGGGGGGGGGGGTAAATCCTCTGGAGGGCAAGTGGTTGATAAAACTGGCTACAAGTCAGACTTTTTAGAAAGACCTGCTGTCTGGACTTCCTTTTTCCCAGGGAAAGTGATCTCCATCTGAGCTAACCCCCACAGTTTCTATATACAGGGTTTGGACAAAGATATGGAAACACTACATGATTTGCAGTTGTGAAAGTGACAACAAGTGTCGCGTTGAAAGCAGAAGTGATGTAACATTCTTTTGCTTCCACTGTGTGGTGAGACACCTAGCTAACAGGGTGAGAGGCCTCGCTTTGGTCATTCACTGTGTGCACTGCTAGTAATACAGAGTCATGTCAGAGCTTACTGAGCTTCAAAGAGGGAAGATTGCTGGTGCTTCTGTGACTGAAGTTACCAATTCATTTGACAAGACACGCGGTACAGTATCAAAAGTTATAACAGCATTTATGGTTTCTGGGAAAAAGTCCTTAGATAGCCAGAAGCGTGGTTGACATGATCAACCGACTGAAAGAGACAAAAGGACACTGCGCAGGATTGTGACCCAGAATAAGAAAACAACTGCTGCGAAAGTGACTGCAGAGCTCAATCTCAGTCTTCCAAAGCCCGTGTCCACAAAAACTGTGCTTAGGGAACTCCTAAGCAAAAACATTCACGGATGAACTGCAATTGCCAAACCAATAGTGACCCATTTTAAGGCTCAGGAGAGAGTGGTGCAACATCTATAAATCACGGACTATCAATCAGTGAAAGACTGTAATATGGTCTGATGAATCGAGCTTCACACTGTTCCCAACCATCAGGCGTGTCAACATGTGGCAAACACTGTCCCAAGCTTACGGCAATGACTGTCTTGTGCCAAAAGTACAGCATGGTGGCAGTGCAATCTTGGTTTGGGCAGCCATATCTTGGTATTCTTCAGGCCCCATCATCGCCTTGACAGTTAGGGGTTTATTTACTAAAGCTGGAGAGTCCAAAATCAGACTCCCTTCTGCATAGAAACCAATCGGCTTCCAGGTTTCATTGCCAAAGCTTCATTGAACAAGCTGAGGTTAGAAGCTGATTGGTTTCTATGCAGAAGGGAGTCTGATTTTGGACTCTCCAGCTTTAGTAAATAAACCCCTTAGAGTCACTGCCAGTGACTATACACAAATTGTGGCTGACCATATGCACCCCATGGTGCAGACATTGTTTCCCAAAGACAGCGCCATTTACCAAGATGATAATGCTCCAATTCACACAGATGGTGTTGTCAAATCATGATTTTACAATCATACAGATGAAGTCTTGCACCCTTCCTGGGCACCGCAGTTGCTGGACCACAATATCATAGAATTACTATTGTCAATTTTGGAGAAGAAGGTTTGTAATTGTTTTCCGCCTCCAGCATTTCTGCGAGAACTGGAACGATTTTGCATGAAGAGTGATATTAGATTCCATTATCCACCCCCCAAAGACTTTTTCTATTCCCAGGAGAATTCAGGCTGTCTTGGATGCCAAAGTTGGTTCAACACCATATTGGGTAACAATTTTTTGTTTTTACCTGGTGTTTCCATAATATTGTCCAACCCATGTATATATGCAGTACATTCATAAATTATTCAGACCCACATCACTTTTTTTCAATTTTATCTTGCAGCCTGATACTACAGTTGTTTAAATTCATTTTTTTTTTCTCAGTCTACACTCTGTATCCCATAATGACAGCGAAAACAGAATTTAAAAAATGTCTGTCAATTTACTTAATAGAAAAAAAAATGACATATCATGTGGGCAGCACAGTGGCTAAAAGCACTTTAGCCTGGCAGTACTAGGGTCATTGGTTCGAATCCCAGCCATGGCACCACCTGGAGTTTGCATGTCTTCCCTGTGCCTGCATGGGTTTCCTCCGGGTACTTCGGTTTCCTCCCACACTCCAAAGACATGCTGATAGGTTAATTGGATCCTGTCTAAATTGGCCCTAGTATGTGTATGTATAAATGTTAGGGACCTTAGATTGTACGCCCCTTGAGGGTTAGGGACTGATGTGAATGTACAATATATATGTAAAGCGCTGCGAAAATTTACTGCGCTATATAAGTACCTGAAATAAATAAATAAATTGGCATAGGTATTCAGACCCTTTGCAACAACACCTGAAATTTAGCTCAGGTGCCTCCCATTTTTTCTTGATCATTGCTGAGATGTTTCCACATCTTGAAGTCCACCTGTGATAAATTGATTGGGCATGTTTTGGAAAGGCACACACCACTCTATAAAAAGCGTCACAGCTGTCAATGTATACTGTATCAGAGCAAAAGCCTTGATGTCAGAAGACTGTTGAGACAGGATTATTGCAAGGCACAGATCTAGGGAAGGCTACAAAAAATTCTGCTGCACTGAATGTTCCCAAGAGCACAGTGGCTTCCATAATCAGATGGAAGAAGTTTGACAAAACCAGGACTCTTCCAAGAGCTGGTCACCAGGCCAAGCTGAGCAATCGAGTGAGAAGGGCTTTAGTAAGAGAGGAACCCCATATGAAGTGTGGGGGTAACATATATTTTAAACTACAGAAGATTTCAAAATTGTCTTATGTATAATAGTGCTGTTTTGCTGTCTGTGTACAATTGCTGAAATTTACCTTCACATCCTGTCCCAGTAACGCAATTGGAAGTTACTGGACATCATCTGCCAAAGTGAGAGGAGTTCCCCAGTTGTTCTAGATCAGGTGACCCCTTTAGTACATTTCCCCTTACCTCTCTTGTTCTAGGGACAACTTTTAAACTTTGGATTTTTCCTCCCAGTCTTTCTTGGTGACAGTAGACACTACTACATAACTACTACATATGAAGCTCCTCTGTGGGGACAGAGCAATAAAATCATGATGTGGGTCAAACCCTTCTCAGATCAATTAAAATAAAATAGAATAAAAATTGTAGAGATGCACTTAAGTTTGGGCCATTATGTCACTGGAGTGGGTTACTGTTTATGAAAACTGGCTGCAAACCCATGCACTTGGTGATACAATACAGTGATACAATACAGTGCAATGTACTTTTATTTTTACAGTTCAGTAAGATGAGATTTACTAGGTTTTTTGGGTTTTTTTTTTTTTTGAATGCATGGGAAACATGCTATTTTAAAACATGTTTAACCTCACCAAGCATTGTGTATTGGCAAATCAAATTGTACATTTATTTAAAATATATTGCTAGAAAAACAGTTGTGAAAAACTAGTTTGAATCTGTAGACTTTTCTGAATATTTGTATGATCTAATGTTCACCAAAGGTTACTAACCAAAATTGGTATAAATCTGAATAAAACACATTTTACTCTTCAATATGTTTAACAAATTAGTATAAATTGATGCCTGAAGGGTGGCGACATACTGAATAGAGGTAATTGAAGTCAGGTATTCCTTTTTAATATAATTTAAAGCCACCAGAAAGTGGACTGCTGAGTAACTACACTAATGGTAAGCAGTAGTTTGACCTGCCTGAGGTGCTAAATCATTTTTTGCTTTTTTTTTTTTGTGATGTGCCTGTCATATGGAACTGTTATGGTGGCCATACGTGATTGTATTTCGATCGATCAGATTATACTACAGCTGCTGTCTTTTAAAAAACACACACTTGCTGTTCCATGATCCAGCGGTGTCCTCACCCAACCTGACTCATTGCCCTGTCTTTGGGTCCAGGCACCTGTATCTCAACTGTAGGCAGCTGCCTGTGACTCCTTGTGGCTTTACAGCCAGCTGCCCACTGCACATACGTGAACTACGCTGCACTCCGTGAATGATCCCGCAGTCTCCTAAGACCTCTAACATCTCCCTAGAGGATGTGCAGAGGGAGGGATGGGGGCGCAAATTTCCGTTTTTGATCTAGGCAGTCCAAGCTGAAGTGGTACCTGTCAAAATCAGGTGCTCGCTAATATGGTAGAGGAGGGGTGGGAGGAGGAGGAAAAGCAGAACTTCCCCTTTTGGTTGAAGCTCTGCTTTAACTAGCGATCAGCATCCACATCCTGTGTATAGCATATCGATCAAATGGGTTATCGACTGTAGATTATTTCAATCAGAAGCAAATTAACAGAAAAGGAATCGATCATTTATCAGTTTATTGCTACAATTGGGCTACATTCACATGGGCTGTCAGTAGACCCTATGAATTCCAGCTGCAATAAAGTGCAAATTCTTGCTGCTCGAATGACAAGTGCATGCATAGGGCCCATACAATGCAATGACAGGCTGATGGCGGCCACAGCTATTTTTGATTGTTTATACAATTCGTACCTTCGGTGAGCTGGGCTATGTGCGTCAACCCAGGATTATCTGTCCTTAACCGCGGGTACTTGCTGGCTATACAGACATTTGTGAATCGCTGTGGCCACTGTCAGCCTGTACACACTGGTTATTCCGGGCATAAGGACTCTACAGATTCTTGCTGCTGGAATTCACAGGCTGATGCCTAGTACCCATGGGCCAAATGTCAGGCAGCATTAGTCTGTTCAATAAAAAACGCTTGGCCCATACTAGGTTTCACGACTGAAAAAAAAGTCTGACAATTTGGCTCTTGTTCAGCATTCTCAGCCATTGGCCAGTGTGTTCTGGCAAGGGGGCTGTCCTCCTGTCAGAACACAATAGTTCAGCAGGGGGAGATCGCTGTACTAACATCAGATTGTTCGTACAGCGGCTCATCCTGAGCACTGCAGTTTTCTATGGAGCAGCAGGTATAACATTTAAACTACCTAAATAAATAAATGACACAACACGCCAGGCTGGACAAAATATGCCGCGGCCGTTTATTATTGGTTTCAATTACATATAACCATTAACTCATTATAAATGTGTTTAAAATAACCAACGCCTCAAATAGCTCAGCCACTATGACTCAAGCCAAAGTAATTTAATAACTTAAAATATCCTTTATTAATACTCAGACATCATAACTTTAAAAGGAAACCCAACCACTACAGTTCAGGTTCCATAAACAAAACTGTCCCCCTTTCATCCTTAAATGTGACACTACCACATAATAATGGCCATGACAACCCGGGCGGGTGGGAGAGAGCACCACAGACTATGCCTTCTGAGGCACCTGAACGGAGGGGTAATGGACCTCTCTATATAGCCCTGTTCTCCCACTCACAGCAGCCCTTGGGGTCAAAAGTTGGCACTGTTATTAGGGGCCGGCGACCTATCAGAGGCTTTCCTGCACTTTTTCAGTCAGGGAGACTTGAAACTCCACTGCCGCAGTCCCATGAAGAAAGGGGGGCCTAGAAACACCCCCCCCCTTTTCTTTCATTCCGCCCATTGAGTTGAACAAAAAAAAAAACCCTGCAAGTGTATGCCAGGCTTGTGTGTGTGTGTGTGTGTGTGTGTATATATATCTCTATCTATCTATATATATATATATATATATATCGTATTTTTTACTCCATAAGACGCACTTTTCCCCCCCAAAAAATGGGGGAAAATGTCTGTGCATCTTATGGAGCGACCGGCCCGATATTCCCCCCGTGTTAGAATACCGGGCTGGCAGCTCGGCTCTGCTCTGCAGACCTCCGATGGTCCTACCTGTTCCTCGGTCCAGCAGTGTCCTCAGTCTTCTCTCCCCGGCGCCGGCATGGGCACCCGTCTGTGACAGCTTGCGGCTTCACAGCTGGGTGCCCATTGCGCAAGCGCGAGAAGCTCTGCGCTTTGTGAATGGCCCCGTAATCTTCTGGGACCTGTCACGTGTCCCAGAAGATTACAGGGAGGGAGAGTGAAGGACAAATCTGTGGAAGTGGGTAATCCCCAGACCGCCCCCCCGCAGCAGTCTCTGGTCATCCCCTGTACTATGTCTCTGGTCATCCCCTGTACTATGTCCGCAGTCTCTGGTCATCCCCTGTACTATGTCCGCAGTCTCTGGTCATCCCCTGTACTATGTCCGCAGTCTCTGGTCATCCCCTGTACTATGTCCGCAGTCTCTGGTCATCCCCTGTACTATGTCCGCAGTCTCTGGTCATCCCCTGTACTATGTCCGCAGTCTCTGGTCATCCCCTGTACTATGTCCGCAGTCTCTGGTCATCCCCTGTACCATGTCCGCAGTCTCTGGTCATCCCCTGTACCATGTCCGCAGTCTCTGGTCATCCCCTGTACCATGTCCGCAGTCTCTGGTCATCCCCTGTACCATGTCCGCAGTCTCTGGTCATCCCCTGTACCATGTCCGCAGTCTCTGGTCATCCCCTGTACCATGTCCGCAGTCTCTGGTCATCCCCTGTACCATGTCCGCAGTCTCTGGTCATCCCCTGTACCCTGTCCGCAGTCTCTGGTCATCCCCTGTACCCTGTCCGCAGTCTCTGGTCATCCCCTGTACCCTGTCCGCAGTCTCTGGTCATCCCCTGTACCCTGTCCGCAGTCTCGGTCATGTCCCTGTACCCTGTCCGCAGTCCATCCCCTGTACCCTGTCCGCAGTCTCTGGTCATCCCCTGTACCCTGTCCGCAGTCTCTGGTCATCCCCTGTACCCTGTCCGCAGTCTCTGGTCATCCCCTGTACCCTGTCCGCAGTCTCTGGTCATCCCCTGTACCCTGTCCGCAGTCTCTGGTCATCCCCTGTCTCCCTGTCCGCAGTCTCTGGTCATCCCCTGTACCCTGTCTGCAGTCCATTGGTTCAGAATATTTTTTTTTTCCTGCTTTCCTCCTCTAAAATCTAGGTGTGTCTTATGGTCAGGTGCGTCTTATGGATCGAAAAAATACGGTGTGTGTGTGTGTATAGATATATATGTATCTCAAACTGTTAATTTAGCCTTGTGTGAATGGATACATTGACGTGAACACCTGGGAAATTTTGTTTGCGGAGGGAGAAAGACTGCAGTTTTATTATAATGTGGAGAACACCAATAAAATCCGCCTTGCTCTTTGTTGGCACGTTTTTTGCAGTCCAAGCCATTCTTTATTTGTGAATGTGGTAGGTACAGAGCCACAACCACCTTTGGCACTAAAGCTATGGGCAGCAGGGTCTCCTCACATGAAGCCCAGGGTTAACAGTCTTGGCCCGCTGGTGAAGTGAACCACAATAGTGGCATTTTTGCAGGAACAAAATCCCTGCATGAAAACCGTTTTGATTATGTGGGTGTAAGCACATCTTTGGAGCTCGCAGCTCTCCAGAACACACACACACAAGCTGGCAGGGAGATTACAAAGAGCACCAGCAGTTGCTAATTTATTATGGCATGCAAAGATTGTGTTGGGAAAAAAATGTAGTAAGGCCTGTGCTAAAACAAAGCAAACACCTGTAAGTCTTTTGTTCTGGCTGCTTCATATCCTGTTGTGCTGCCACATGAGACGGAGCAAAGCCAGTTGCCTTTTTTTAGCGCCAGAAGAGGACAATGTCCTTACTGTGCTCTTCCATTGATAAAGAGAGGTATCTGAGCTCTGGCATCTAATTAAATGTTATGTAAACCTACGTGCACAGTTTCCTTATGAAGTTAGAAAGCTACTTTTCAGAAATGTAGTGAAGGAATTCCGTTCACTCTCCGAGAAGAGCAACAAGTCAAGTGTGCTGGTCAGAGCTCATGCTCGACTGATCAACAGTTTGATTCTAACATTTTCTGTGACACCATTTCTTTTGTGTAAAGCAAAAAAATATCTGCCTCCTTTAATACAGAGGGACAATACTGTGAACTAGTCACATGTTACAAAGGATAGTTCGATATTACCATTTTATGCTTTTTAAGGCCCCTTTCACATGGAATGGAGTCCATTCCTATCAGCTGGGGAACTTTGCGCAGACCCCTTGCTGATCTGAAAAGAACTGAGCAGACACAGGCAGACCCTGCTGAGCTCTATGGGCAGCTGGGTGTAAACTAACTCTGCTGTCAGTTTACATCCCACAACCTCCCATCTGGTCTGGAAAAAGATGCAGCCCTCCTTCCATTTTTTATTTTTTTGACTGGAACAGACCTAATGGAAGGTGGGTCTAAAAGGATGCAAGTCCATTTACAACCGCCTATCCAGAGGGATGCAAGGACAGTCTGATCAGATCCACCTGAAAAACTGACAGATGGACCTGAAAGGGGCCTAAGGCCTCATGCAAACTGGACACTTACCCCTTGTTCACATATCCGTGTTCCTGCGGTCTGTGTTTTTTGCGCGGGCAGGAGAACCCATTCATTTTAATGGACTCCCGTGCCCCGGGACATGCAGGGAAGAAGTCCCTGCACATCTTCTGAAAACACAGCCCGTGCGGGATACCTCGGTTCCCAGTGCGGTGGCGATTTCCAGTGTGGGCGGCGTGCCATTAGAATTAATGCCACCCGCCCGCGGATCCTCATGCATCTGTGTGGGTGGTGTGGCTGCACAGATCCGCAGCGGCACCACCAGCACATATGTGAACCTAGCCTCACCTCGGTGCACAAGATCCCAGCATTTGTGCAGGCATAGGTGCACCATCCAATTCTGCTGCCGGCAGCCTGTAAAAGTCACAGGCTAAAATATAAATAGGTATGCAGCTCTAAGTAAAACAATAAACCGATATTGCCCATAGACTTCAAGTACATGCAAACTGGTGTGATCACTATTAAAGGGCCAAAATAGTGCAGTGATGTCCACATTTTATTGAAAAATGTTACTATTAAAGATGTTACGACCAAAGTGGCGGTGGTGATAAGTAAATAACATATAGATGAATAGATCAAAAATAGTGCTTGGTGTTCCGTGACTTTCAATCTCTGTTATGAAAATCCGGTGCAATAATGCACTTACCAGAAGTACATATAATGAAAGCATTATATGTATAGCATATATGTAGTGACACAGGGTCTGGTCTATGGTTGCGGTAACATCTGGCACTATGGTACACTCGGGGATGAAACGGCTCACACTCGGGGGTCACCTCAGGCTCACCGGTTCGTCCAGACCATCTCAAAACCCTGGTTGCACTTTTTCAAATGGCTCCACCTTGTGAGGCTCGCAAAAAACAAGCCAGGGGGCAAAATGGTGCTAATAGTGTAGTATGTTTATTCACATGAAAAGTAGATCCAAATGTAACAATTAAAAGAACTCACATGCAATAACAGATGGCCGCCAGGCCTTCCTCATAGGCTAATTAGCGGCTAGGGCGTCAGTCTGGTGGATTCCCCTGACAGGCAGGCTAAACGCTGCTGCAGCTGAACAGTACTACCATTTAGCGCAGTATGCGCCCAGGGTCAAACGCCCAGAATGCAAGCTGTCTTTGTTCCAGGCATTCATCCCTGAGCACATACCTCCCTTAACATTAGTACTGCTTGGTGCACCATCCAGCCACAGCAGCCTCCTATAAACGTTTACAAACCACCGGCAGCAAATTTGAACAGTGTGCCTGCCCACACCATACTGCCAGGATCTAATATACTGGGGCATGGAGAAGGCACGGTTCCCCCTACTGCGGCCTGCGGTTGCTCTGGTCCGACACGCCATTCATTTGAATATGCTGCTGTGCCCACATTTCCCGCAAAAAAAAGGTGCATGCACCTTTTAAAAAATGCAGCTGCAGGGAAACTGCATGATCTTTTTGACCATGCAATTTCCCTGTGGTTCCTGTACCTGAGATTCCTGAGATGCATAGGGCGTCATTCAGAATGGCATCCCCACGTTTTCCCCTAAGAGCAGCACGATTTAGTTGTGGGTGCGGGAATAGGTGTGATGACTGCACAAGTGTGAATCTAGGCGAATTGTAAAGCTGCCTTTTAAAGGCCGTGGAAATTATTGACACAAATCAGGCTGCCTCAAATTTAACAAGTCTGTGCAATTTTTGTTTTACTTTGTGTTTGTGACCCCCTGTGCCTTGAATCCTGAACAACCAACTGAGACACATTAAGGCTTGGTTCACATATGTGCGGGTGGTGCCACTGCGGAGCCGCACCTTCTGCACAGAGGAATGCGGACCCGCGGGCGGGTGCCATTAGTTCTAATGGCACACCGCCCGCACTGGAAAACGCAGCTGTACTGGGAACTGAGGTTCACGTGCGGGCTGCGCTTTCAGAAGAAGTGCAGGGACTTCTTTCCTGTGTGTCACGGGGCACGAGAGTCCATTCAAATGAAAATGTGGCCCACGCGGTCACATATATGTGAACCAGGGGTTAAGCTGGCCATACGTTATGCCGTGTTCTTATTCAATTTCCTTCACAGTTACCTTCAATGTAGTGCAAGGCCCTGCCTGATTGCTTACAAACTGAAAGCGTTTAGGTATGACCATATATTGTATGGTTTTGGTAAATCTAAAGGAAAATTGTATAATGTATGGCCAGCTTTACACTGGTTTATTGACAAATTTAGCACTTTTCATTCAAAACGAATGCACAAATAAGTGGCCCCAGGGTAGGGTATATTCTGTCACAATATTACTTTGAAGCAGCAGAGGGGGAATTTATGAATGAAGCAGAACTCTTAGGTCTCTTGCATGTGGTGTCTTGTATTACGGGAATTCATCCCTGATAAATGAGGTGTGTGTAACTCAGTACAGCATTTAGCCCCAACCAGCTGCAGCGTATTTCAGCCTGCCAAAGACGTTTGACAAGCTGCAGGCAATGGGGCTGGACGCTGTACCTGTGTCTCCCGGACTCACTAAAACTCTGCACACACGTTGGCTCGACATCCTTTGTGCAAAGGGCCTAGGGCGGGGGTGTCCAAACTTTTTTGGAAGAGTGCCAGATTTGATGAAGTGAACATGTGCGAGGGCCGACCATTTTACCCGACATTCTGATGAACCATTAACATTAAATGCAAATGAACTATTTTATGCAAAAGTTTATTGAAAACGGCATACTTTTCATTTTGTGACTTGGATGACAAATCTAAACAGGTGTTAAATCACTCTGCCAGCACAGGGAGAAGGAAAGCCCAAATCTCGCGAGATCTCGAGATTTGGGCTTTGTTTCTCCTTGCACTGTCTGATGACGTCAAGCGATCCTGAGCACCAATCCATTATAGCCCAAATTGATACCATATTTTTCGCTCCATAAGACGCACCTGACCATAAGACGCACCTAGGTTTTAGAGGCGAAAAACAGGAAAAAAAAATTCTGAACCAATGGACTGCAGACATAGTACAGGAGATGACCAGAGACTGCGGACACGGTACAGGAGATGGCCAGAGACTGCGGACACGGTACAGGAGATGACCAGAGACTGCGGACACGGTACAGGAGATGACCAGAGACTGCGGACACGGTACAGGAGATGACCAGAGACTGCGGACACGGTACAGGAGATGACCAGAGACTGCGGACACGGTACAGGAGATGACCAGAGACTGCGGACACGGTACAGGAGATGACCAGAGACTGCGGACACGGTACAGGAGATGACCAGAGACTGCGGACACGGTACAGGAGATGACCAGAGACTGCGGACACGGTACAGGAGATGACCAGAGACACACGGTACAGGAGATGACCAGAGACTGCGGACACGGTACAGGAGATGACCAGAGACTGCGGACACGGTACAGGAGATGACCAGAGACTGCGGACACGGTACAGGAGATGACCAGAGACTGCGGACACGGTACAGGAAATGACCAGAGACTGCGGACACGGTACAGGAGATGACCAGAGACTGCGGACACGGTACAGGAGATGACCAGAGACTGCGGACACGGTACAGGAGATGACCAGAGACTGCGGACACGGTACAGGAGAGACTGCGGACACAGAGGACTGCCAGAGACTGCGGACACGGTACAGGAGATGACCAGAGACTGCGGACACGGTACAGGAGATGGCCAGAGACTGCGGACACGGTACAGGAGATGGCCAGAGACTGCGGACACGGTACAGGAGATGGCCAGAGACTGCGGACACGGTACAGGAGATGGCCAGAGACTGCGGACACGGTACAGGAGATGGCCAGAGACTGCGGACACGGTACAGGAGATGGCCAGAGACTGCGGACACGGTACAGGAGATGGCCCGAGACTGCGGACACGGTACAGGAGATGGCCCGAGACTGCGGACACGGTACAGGAGATGGCCCGAGACTGCGGACACGGTACAGGAGATGGCCCGAGACTGCGGACACGGTACAGGAGATGGCCCGAGACTGCGGACACGGTACAGGAGATGGCCCGAGACTGCGGACACGGTACAGGAGATGGCCCGAGACTGCGGACACGGTACAGGAGATGGCCCGAGACTGCGGACACGGTACAGGAGATGGCCCGAGACTGCGGACACGGTACAGGAGATGGCCCGAGACTGCGGACACGGTACAGGAGATGACCAGAGACTGCGGACAGTACAGGAGATGACCAGAGACTGCAGACATAGTAAATAATGGTAAATGGTAGCCCCAGTAGTAATTCCCTGCGCACCACCTGGGATCCCTCGGCCCACGTTCCGGACCCCACAGATGAGCTGCCCAATATATAACTTACGGCCCTCCACTAGAGATTCTGCGAACGCCACTGGGGACTCCAGGGATCTGTCGAGCGGGAATTGACGTCATCAGCCGGCACACAGAGAAGGAAAGCCCAAATCTCACGAGATCTCGGACATCGCGAGATTTGGGCTCTCCTTCCTGCGCCAGCTGATGATGTCAAGAGATCGCTGGAGTCCTCAGTAGCTTTCAGGGAATCACTACCGGGGGCCGTAAGTTATATATTTGGGTAGCTCACCTGTGGGGCCGTTTCAGTCCGGAACGCAGGCCGCAATTGGCCGGGGCCGGACTTTGGACATGCCTGGCCTAGGGCCTCAATCACAGTGGCACTGTCAAACCTGTGCTCACATGCATTTAGAGGACATATAAATGCATATGTGACGATTGTGCGCAATAGAGACATGGACACTGTACGTGACAGCCATCTTGTTAAGCCTCAGCCATTTTGTCTCTCCTGTCTTCCCTCCTCCCTCTTGAAATGAAATTTGTAGCTGTAAGTTAAATGAACTTCAAAAGGGCCTCTTATCTTAAATAAAACACAGATAGATGAGCTCCAGAGCTGTAAATTGCTAATTAGTCTGGTGCAGGAGGTCTGCTTTGAAAACCACTTTCCTCTGCCCGTTCGTAAAGCAATAACTTAGTAAGTCAAGACCTGTTAGGCCATTAGGGCTCTAGGATGCAGAGCATGCCATAAAACGTCCATTCCACATGTAACCATTTCACATACAATTCATAGAGTTCAGCAGGAACTGGGCACATTAATATTAGGTATATATTTGGATAGATCATTTTTATGCAAGCTCAACAAGATCATACATGACTATATTGGCACCTAGGAGAGAGAAGAAAGGAATCTCTTCCCTCCTGGGTGACAAGGGTACGCTGTATTTGGTATCCCTGGGTTTGAAATCTAATTCTGAATATTAATCTCCCAGTTGCTAGAATACCACCTGCACATACTGGAAGTTATTAATATGAAACTGCAGTTGGGACTTGGTCATTAACTTAGGGGCCGCCTAGCACCCATCCCCAAGCTGGATGATTGGTCAGTTGTTCTCAGGCGACACCCCTTTAATATCATAGAAAAAGACTGACAGGCCTGGAGAAGAGAGCTCTCGTTTAACATCAATCAGGAAACATCTAACGGACTTTTTGTTTGGACACTTGGATGCTGCTTAAACCAAGGACATTGCAAGTATTCTGCCTTCTGAACTCCTTTAATTTATTTCTCTGTTGCATTATTGTTCTCTTTATGTCTTTGTAACATCTTTTTCTGTAAATATTTTAATTGCACCATTTTGACCTTTTTAGTAATAAAGCCTATTTTGGAAAAATCTTGAAACTGTCTCTAAAGCTTTTAATGCAAACTAAAGAATCCCTGTCTTTTGAAGAGTGCTACTGTATGTAATAACCCTCTGAATATACTTGTCTGTGATGAAAGTGTGTGTTGCAGACGCTTATGCCAATATCATAGTGTTATTGCTAGGATTTGTGAGTTTCCTCCTTCTCTGTAAAAAGGTGGTGGTGGCAGTGTAAAGGGTTAATTGCGTAATTAACCTAACCCAGTAACAATCGCTCTCAGGCTGCTGGCACATAGATTGTAGTCCCGCGAGCTGGAAAATCTTTGTACAGGGTGCAGCTGATTGTGGCATTGTTACGCAAGTGACAGCGTGGTGTGAGGTCGGCTGGTCCTTCGGTCACGAGTTGGTGAGAAGGGCAGGGGTCGGATGCCGCATTCCATCACAGCATGTAATGATTTTTTAATGGTGCCATTCCCACTGTGCATTTACTTGCCTTTAGGATGCTGCCATTTTATTTGCATTTAGTAGAAATAGAATTCTGTGCATCACGGATCTGATTTGAAACTCTACATGCAGATTAACACATGCAACCACGGCTAAGCCTGCTTTAAAGTAGGAACATCTAAATGCAGGAAAAGGTGATCTGGGAAACTTAAAAGTCGTTTATACTTCCCAGATGACTTCTCCAGCATTTAGAAAAGCTAAAGGCAGGAGTGTAAATGAGGCCTAATAAGTAAATCTGTACTGCTCTTTAGTATTGTCTTGTTTGTCACTGATGTGTACTGGTCTGTATTATACTTTTTATCATGGTCATTACTACAAAAAACCAATACAGACTGAAGCATTATGTTATCTTAAAGGATAAGTTCACCTTTGGGAACATGTTACATGTTCCAAATGGGTGGAACATGTAACCTGTTCCCAATGCTGCTGCCCGCTGCTCTCCCCTCCCATTGACAGAAGTACAGGGAGAAATTCCCCCGTACTATCTGTCAGATTTGAAAACAGTGCGGCCTTGCGGGGCTCTGCCCACACGGCTGCGTCATTCATTCACAGAGTTCGGTGAATGAATGCACTACAAGTCCCAACAGCCTTAGCAGCTGTCGACTTGTAGTTTTTCAATGAATCTTCCTGTCAGTATATCTGCTTGCTTGTATATCCTGTACGGTCAAGCAGATCTACAGGAGACATGCATGGCATCAGTGATCTGGTGATTGCTGGGGCAATGCTTTCCAGCAAAAAAATGTGTATTTATTATTTTTGTGCAAAAGGTGAACTTATTCTTGTTAAAGCTGGCCTTGAATTCAGAATGTCGAGATTTGCTATGTTGTAAGGAACAGCTAAATAATATTCATTGTGCTTAAGCAGTACCCCTCATCAGTGACTCACTCCTTTCGGATGGCTCAGTATTGCCACTGCTGTGTATTTTAAAGCTGAACTCCAGCATATAAGTAAATGTGTTCCATAAAGCTGGTCATACACAGTATGAATTTTGAGCTGTGGGTGGTCCTGTCAGCATGCTCCAGGACTTTACAGTATCATTTTTTTTTTAAACCAAGCACAATCATTTACAATAATAGCTGATGACTGTACAGAAACAGACATAATGGTATCATATGTCTCAAAGCAGATAGTCCTGCTGCTATCTTCAAAATTCAATAACTAGCATTTAATAGCCAAGTCACGTATTTGCATGAAGTAGCAGGGAAAATGCTTGCCTTTTTGTTCTTTTTTTTTTTTTCTTGTTTTTGTTTTTTAAACCAAAAACAAATGTAACGTATTGCAGCTTACCAGTCCTTAGTCTTACTCCTTTACAATAGTTTTTTTTTTCACTAGGCCTTTTTACTTTTATTTTCAGCTGATAATCCTGTGAATAACATGCTTCTGTCCTTGGGTGGCCACACTGCACTGTACCTGGGGACCATGTCTGCCTTAGTTCATTTCCATTACATGTGGGTTAGGGAGATTAGTAGTTTAAAGATGCTCTGTTCACAGGATGTGACAAGGATGCAGCCAGGGAGAAGAGCAGAAGCCAGGAAGAAGTTGCCAGCAGAGGACCTTGTGGGCATTGGATCACTGGAGCATACAGTACATTAGCAGTAGCATCTTCTCCCCCCTGCTCCAGCAGTCAAAAGGTCCTGAGGTCATCAAGACCAATGCAGGGTCCATTGGACATGATGATGCCAAGGGACAGTCCACCACCAGAGCATGGTGCAGTTCCTTCTGTTGGGTGAGTGAAGGATCAGGTAAGTAAAAGTACTCCTCTCCCCTAGACAATACGGGCAGTTTACCCCCTGCAGTGTGGGTGCAGCCCCACTGCACTGCAAGGGATAACTTTTGTTTCCAGAAGTTGAGCTTTACCCGTTGCTGCCCACGTTACACATATATGCGGCAGCGAAATTGTGAGCTCTAGTGGCCACACACCGCACATATGTGTCACTGGGCGGCCTATGTTTCTGTACTGAGCACGCTCCCTGCACAGACACAAAGCTGTCAAACAGTTTAGGAAGGTGGAAAGATGCCACTGAACCGTAGGGTTGTCTCGCTGGCATTGTTATCATAAAGTATTTGAAGTTGATGTAAATGATCTGGTTCCTGGACAGGCTGCTTCTACACCCCACAGGTATCTGAACCTCTTAGCAGTGGTGTGGCGCTTTAATTTATATTTTTGTTTAATTTCACTAGAGTTGTCAAAGATAGCTCTCAGTCCCCACTAAAAATTGGCAACCGAATGACTGTCTCCTGATCATATGAACACTGACAGCGAATCACAGTGGTTATATGATTGCCAGCCATAGCATTCTGACATACAGTGCTGAATACACTGGGATTGGCTGCCGTCACTATTTTGACAAGAATCATCTGTCTGGCTCTTTTGATTTTCAGATTGAAGGATATCAGGCTGTAGGGTGTTGACAGGGCACCCATGCTTGAATTTAGCCATTTAGTAAGAAACTGGACAAAATGTGATCGGTGTTTGGCCATCTTCAAGCTGGCCATACATGGATCAAAATTTGGACGTTTCAGCAGAGACCAGCCGAATTTTGATCTATGTGTGTCCACTGCTGTTGAACATTATTATTATTATTATAATACAGTATTTATAAAGCGCCAATAGTTCGCTCAGCGCTGTACATTACAATGGGGGAGAGAACAATAACAATACAATACAATGCAAAACATGAGGGGATCGAGGGCCCTGCTCTGAACATAAGTCAGTTTACCAACTGACTTCTGTTCAACCACCCTGTTGTTATATTGTTCAGACATCACCTCAGGGTTGCAGCGCTGACCTCTGCATTCCTGTGTTTTCTGACAGCAAGAGTCCCCACACTGGCAGAATGACACAGCAAGGAGGATTCCAGCTTCCATATTAAATGTATGGATGGGATAATCGGGTCAGGTTTTTTTTTTTTTTTTTTTTTTTTTTTTCGTTTACCCCCCCTGAATAAAAACAAAAAGTGACCCATGTATGGCCAGCCTTTAGTCCTCCCCATTTAAAACTCCACCAATCAGCTGCCGTTGATCAGCTCTGCTCATAAGAGAGGTGCCCGGCCTCAACATGATCCTTGTCTCTAGACTCTGTCTTTTCTAGTGCTAGCTGTTTTGCACAGCTGCAGTCCAAGCTTTCAAAGCTACTGAAAAGCAAAGGATATTTTAGATTGGGCTCATTAGAACTGAGCAAGCTCAAACAGTAGTCGCCTTGTTTCTTTGTGATGCTGTTAAAACAGATGATCAGCAGGTGTAAAAACCTATTTACCAACCTGCTAGGATAGGAAGTCAAATTTAGTACAGATAAGCTTACTGTACTTTGGAATGGATTTTATTAGTGATGTAAAGTGAAAAATCAGCAAGTTGGCATGCTGTGCAGTTGCATAGCTAGAGGATATCTCCATCATAAACTGATA